GAAAACAAGTATAACTAAGCATATCAAATTCATATCATATCAACTATCTACGAGATACGGGCCTCGCCCACACTCGACTATCAAGGAGATACGGGCCTCGCCCACACTCGGCTACTTATCAGAATATCAATCTGTACCGTATCAGCTTTCTATGACATACGAGCCTTCCCCATACTCAACTACTAATCAGATTACATACACGGGGCGACCTTGGTGTCGTAGACCCGTTCCTACTAGAGGAAACTCACCCTAATCTCGTGTGAATAGTTGAATTGTCCCTACTCCACAACAAACTCTACTCACACCCTATACAGAACAACCTCTTAGATACCATTCCACACTCAAAACCCCTTCACAGTTGAACCTTGGTCAAAGTCAAGGTCAAGGTCAAAGTCAACGTCCAGTTAAAGTCAAAGAGAACCCCGAGTTGACTCAAGTCGTCGAGTCACCCCCTGAATCGCCGAGTTTCCATGCTACTCTCAGTCGTGATAAAACGAGTAAACTCGTCGAGTCCCTCCTCAGAGTCGTTGATTTTTACCCTTTACAGAATCGGGACAAATCAACACAACTCGTCGAGTTCCTCTATGAACTCACCAAGTTCTTCAGTCTGTTGCTTTATCTTAATGGATTATGCCCCTATTCTTTAGATCTAAGATCCATGCTTCACATATACATTGAAATTGTGCTTTTAAGGGTAATGTTTCCAACTTTACCCGTTAATACCCTTACTTAATGGATTTAGCTCAAACCCTAACTCTTTAGGACCTAGATCTTGGTCCACAGGCCATCAATACTCCAAACTGAGGCATATACACTGAGATTTGGACCCTAGATACGTTACAAATACGTAAAGCTTCTAACTTTCCTTCCATTCATGGCCTTTTGGAGCTTAAAAGGCCAAATTGTCATCCTAAAGCTTGTATAGGGCTTCAATGGCCATAAAGTTTGCACCTTTATGCCATGAAAACCCTTCAAGGCCCTAGATCTGAAGGTATACTCACTTGGGACGTGCATTTCTCAAAGATCATGCTTCTTGGATCAAAAACCCATTAAAAGAGGTAATAAGGAGATCTAAGTAGTTATTGAGCAAGGTTGAAACTTGCTTACAAGTAAATGATGAGGATGGAAAGATGTTTCTAGATCTAATTGCTTCTTCTAGAATCCACAATCTTGTCCTTCTTCCATAAGCTTCAATACACACAATATTCACTCAAAAATGACTCACAAGCTCACACAATGCATTAGGTCTTTGTGATTTAGGGTTTCGGACTTTGAGGCTGGAAATGAGGCTAAAATGTGGGGATTAAGATGCTTAAATAAGGTGCAAAAACCCCGAAATTAGGGTTTCACCCCTCCCAGCCTACTCGTCGAGTTGAGGGCTCTCAACTCCTCGAGTAGGTTACTTCAAACCCGTGCCCCTTCTGATCTCTACTCGAGGAGTTTGGGGCTTCCAACTCATCGAGCTGCCTTATTAAAATGAAAAATTTATAATTTAAATACATACCAGGAACTCAGTGTTACAATTCTCCCCCACTTGTCTCAGACTTTGTCCTCGAAGTCTACTGCCCCGAACAACTCTAGGTAGTGCTCCCTCATCTCCTCCTCTGGCTCCCAAGTCCACTTTTGAGCCCTTGCGGTGTTGCCACTACACCTTCACTAACCGCACAACCTTGTTCCTCTATGTTTTCGTCTTTCGGTCTAAAATTGCAACGAGTTTCTGAATATAATTCGGACGGTCGTCCACCTGAATATCCTCCAAATACACAATGGCAGAATTATGCACTAAACACTTCCGTAGCTGTGAGACATTAAAAGTGTTGTGGATTTGACTAAGCTCAGCTTGAAGATCCAGTCTGTATGAAACCCGTCCCACCATAGCCAAAACCTTAAACATACCGATGTAGTTAGGGCCCAACTTTCCCCGCTTCCTGAACCGGATGACACCTTTCCAAGGTGACGCCTTCAGGAGAACCATATCCCCCACCTAGAACTCTAGGTCTGACCGGCGTTTGTCGGCATAGCTTTTCTGTCGACTCTGAGCAGTCTGGAGCCTGCTCCGGACCTGCTAGATCATCCTAGTGGTTTTGAGTACCACTTCGGTACTCCCCATGACTCTCTGACCCACCTCACCCCAATTGATCGGGGTCCTACACTTCCTCCCGTAGAGCATCTTAAAGGGAGGTCGATCTCTGCTTGTATGGAAACTATTGTTATACGAAAATTCCGCTAGCGAAAGATACGTATCCCAACTCCCACCAAAATCTTATACGCACACATGCAACATGTCCTCCAGACTCTAAATCGTCCTCTCACTCTGCCCATCCGTCTGAGGGTGAAAAGTTGTACTGAAGTGGAGACGAGAACCCATCTCGTCATGAAACCGCTTCCAAAATAAGGAAGTAAAACGAACATCTCGGTCTGACACAACCGAGACCGACACTCCATGACGTGCCACCACCTCACGCACGTAGATCTTGGTTAGCTTTTCCTCCGATATACTCTCGTACATGGAAATGAAATGCGCACTCCTGGTCAACCAATCCACGATGACCCAAATCGAATCTACTCCTCATGCGGTCATGGGAAGCTTCATGATGAAATCCATAGTGATATCTTCCCATTTCCACACGGGAATCTCTAATGGCTGCATCTTGTTGTGAGGTTGCCGGTGCTCGGCCTTGACTTTCCTCCAAGTCAAGCACCTCTCCACGTACCAAGCTATATCCTACTTTATGCAGGGCCACCAATAATCAAGGTGAAGATCTCGATACATCTTTGTCGCCCCGGGATAGATGGAGAACCTAGAGTTGTGCGCCTCCTCCATCAGTAGCTGACGTACACCTCCCTAGTAGGGAACATAGACCATCCGATGCAGGGAAACAGCCTGCGGCTGTCGTAATCAAATGAGGTCGCCTGGACTATGATCCGCTCAGACTTCCAGCGCTCTTCTTCCATACCCTCGACTTGCGCCTCCTGAATCCGTTCCAGTAATGGAGTAATCACTGTCATGCTCAGGCATATATCCCGAATCGGAGTCGTGACCGCCTTGCGGCTGAGAACATCAGCCACCACATTGGCCTTCCCTGGGTGATAAAGGATCTCATAGTCATAATCCTTCAGCACATCTAACCAACAACGCTGCCTCATGTTCAGATTTGGATGGTCCATCAGATACCTCAAGCTCTTGTGGTCCGTGTAAATGGTACAACGAACCCCGTAGAGGTAGTGTCCCCAAATCTTGAGGGTGAAAACCACATCCCCGTGCTCCAAATCATGAGTAGGGTAGTTCCCCTCATGAGGCTTTAACTACCTCAAAGCGTATGCTATCATACGTCGTCGCTGCATCAGCAATGTACCCATACCTGTGATCGACGAATCCTTGTAAACCACAAAATCATCTACGCCCTCCGGTAAGGTCAGAATCGATGCCTCGCACAACCGCTGTCTGAGTGTCTTGAAGGTTGCCTGGTGGTCAGGCCCCAGCAGAATGTCACCGACTTCTTGGTTAGTCGGGTCACTGGGACATCAATCTTGGAGAAATCTTGGATGAATCTCCGATAGTAATCCGCCAGACCAAGAAAACTCCAAATCTTGGATGTAGACCTCCGAACCTCCCACAGCCTCACGACCTCTACCTTGGCCGGATCGACCATAATACCCTGCTGGTTGACAAGGTGCCCCAGAAACTGCACCTCGCTCAACCAGAACTCACATTTGGAGAACTTTGCGAAAAGTCTCTCCCTCCTCAGTGTCTTTAGCACCTCCCTCAGGTGATCCACGTGATGCTCCTGAGTCTTGGAATAAACCAAGTTATCATCTATGAAAACTATTACAGACTGGTCTAGAAACGGTCTGCATACGCTGTTCATGATATCCATGACGCGGCAAGAGCATTGGTGAGCCCAAATGGCATCACCACGAACTCAGAGTGACAATAGCGAGTCCGAAAAGTTGTCTTCTACACATCGTCGTCCCTGACTCGCATCTGGTGATAACTTCATCGCAGATCGATCTTGGAGAACCAAGACGCTCCCTGAAGCTTGTCAAACAAATCATCAATCCTCTGGAGAGGATAAAGGTTCTTCATCGTTAACTTGTTCAGCTCCCGGTAATCTATACACATCCGATGTGGCCCGTCCTTTTTTTTCACAAATAGGATCGGGGCTCCCCATGATGAAGTACTCGGTGTCACACCCCCAAACCAGAATGGCAGAAACATTCGGGGGCAGAGGATATCATGTACAATATCACAACAATTGCATAATAGTAAGTAACCAAAACGAACACAACCATTACATTTATAGAATATAGTATTTACATATGTTTAATACATAATTTGTACGACATCAAATGTGTCACTACTAGAAAACAGCCCTTTAATGACGCGCAAACAATGACACTCGCTGATAGAGGACGCGCATTTTTGTGTGCCCTAAAAAATAATGTCTGTTTTGCAAAATTTGAAGTATAGAGGACACGCATTTGTATGTGCCCTAAAAATAGTGTCCAACAAAAAAATTTAAAAACACGTAGGGCCCCAATCAAAAAAACGCGTGTCGTCTAAAACTGTCGCTTTATATTTTTCTTTATGAACGCACATTCTCCAATTTTTTAATTGCCAAGGGGGGAATGAAATCCAAAAAATAAAACACCCCGCCTTGATTCTCTCGTCATTCTTCTTCTTCGTATGTAAAATCCTCTTCAATCAAAAGAAACCCTAAAAACATTGTGTGTAAAACATCGATAATTTCATACTTGAAGTTCCTAAAATCTTCATCGATCAAAACAAACCCTAAAACCCCACCTGATACCCACCTCAACTACCTCCAACCCACACCGAATTTCCCGATGTTTTTTTTCATAATCATCCCCTTCTTAGGTATGGCTTCATGTTTGATAGAGAAATAGGCCTCTAGAACTATCCGAACCCAGATGTTGTTCCGGTTTGTTTTCAAGGTCCGAGTGGGTTACCAGTTCTGAATCACAGTACTGGACCACCTATGCTTCCTGGATATGATCCCAGTCCCGCTCCTTCAGCTACTGGTTCTTCCAATTCCGTTCATGGAACTAATCTTCCCTCTGCTTCTTCCCCTCTTAATCCAACTGTCAGGTAATTCTGTAAATAACTTTCTTTCAATGAGTTGTTTTTTGTTTAAAATTCTGATTTATTTATTTTAATGTATGTAAAGGGAGGGAAGATACGGGATCCCTAGAGCGGGGTCGTTATCGATACAATCAAATGTTGTCTGCAAGAAACGCAAATCAGTCGAGTTTGCCTCCAAAACCCCCCATCTTTGATCCTTTGGATTCATGATCTACTCTATTTCTGGCTTCTTTCTTCCCCACTTCATTCCCACACCTTCTGGTATGTTACGTCCTTCTTCCACCTGATCTGATTCTTCGCAGATCTATTCCAAAACTTATTATTGTTTTTCTTTACTTTCACGTTGTGGATCACTAACTGGTGGAGAAATTTGAGGTAATGCTACTCCTCTATGGTTTCTGTTGGATTATTTGATAACTGGATTGATGTATCAACGCTTAAGAAAGATGATTTTGATTCAGAAGTTGTTACGAAAAAGCCTCATGATCTATGTGCACATTTAGGACATTAATTCAGAATCAAAGCAGTTTTCTGCATCCTCACCTTTAGTAATCCAACTAATTACATTCTTCCATTCGGAAGTGAATGGACTTGAGCTTTAAATATTTTAAATTACATTTACAGGGGCGTTTTAGGTATCAACCAGGTCAGGTTAGAGCCTTTGGAATGATTACTGGTGGATCTGGCATCACTCCGATGTTTCAGGTGTTTATTTATTTATTTTAAACCTTATCAAGTCCTTTTTTTAAATAAATTAAAATAAGATGGTAATTTATATTCTGTGTTAGGTTGTTAGAGCTGTTCTTGAAAACCCTTCAGACAAGACAAAGGTGCATCTCATCTATGCTAATGTCACATCTGATGACATCCTTCTTAAGGCAAGTAATTAATTAATTAATTATATATACACTTTTTTAGTTTCTTATAAGTATTTAACTAAGGATAATTTAAATAATTTGATGAGGGATTAATTACACTTATAGGAAGAACTGGAGGGACTTACTTCTAATTACCCTGATCGCTTCAAAGTTTACTATGTATTGAATCTGGTAGGTATTATTCTTACTAACAAAAAGCCTATGATAAACAAATCAATGATAGTAGGTACCTGTTTGTTGCATTGAATTAAACCTAATAATCTTTGGGTTTATTATAAAATATAAATTAAAATAAAGGGCCTGGTTTTGTATTTGTGAAGCCACCGGAGGGATGGACAGGTGGCGTTGGTCTCAAATCTCTGCCTGTTGCTGTTAAGGTTCTCAACAAAGAGGGTCTTCAAGGCCACAGAGAATGGCTTGTAAGCTCCTCTAGTTCTCTGTCCTTGCAGCAACTAGTTCTTTGTTTTGTTTTATCTTCCTTATACCATTCTAGTCTATATTTGTAATGGTGTTTTGTGTTGTAGACTGAAGTTAATTTCCTTGGTCAGCTCAGACATCCCAATTTGGTGAAATTGATTGGGTATTGCTGTGAAGATGACCACAGATTGCTTGTTTATGAGTTCATGTTTCGAGGAAGCCTTGAAAATCACCTCTTTCGAAGTATGCAACTTCCTTCCATATATATCTTTTTTTTTTCTTTATGTCAAACGTCTCAAACCCCCCTTGTTCCTAACTTCAATACTCTACATAACAAATAGTATATGGCATCTTCAGCGATGATAGTTGTAATACCAACTTAAAGACCAACAATGATCATAACAAGCCTTCCTTGGTAACTGTATTAGAACTATTAGTGATTTAGTGGTAATTGCAAGAGGGAGAGGAAGGGTGACAATCCCTTCATTATGTTTTAGCAGCTAGGTCAAAATTGTTTATCATATCTGACTTGTTCTGTCTTTCTTGCCCTTTTAACAGTTCAATGTGCTTTATCATTTGTTCATGTTTGTACTCTGATCACAAATATGTGAAAGCTAATACTGATCTAGCATAGTTTCATTATTGTAAATATTTCTAAGGAAATAGGGTTGTTGATAGCTTAGTGTGTGGGAAATGTGATTATATATTTTTGTTAATACAAATAAGATTAACAAAGAGTAAAGACATTAAAAATTTATAAATAACTTTTTACCCTTCCTGGCATTCTAAATGACTAAAAAACTTGTGAAAGAACACCAGATTTTATATACTGTTAACTTATTTTTGAAATCCTCAGAAACAAGTGTGCCATTATCATGGCCAATAAGAATGACGATTGCTTTTGGGGCAGCAAAAGGCTTAGCCTTCCTTCATAATGTTGAACGACCCGTAATTTATCGAGACTTCAAGACTTCCAATAATTGCAAATTTATAGTGTTTGTGCTTTTTTATCTTGTTCTTGTCCTATCGAGTACCTTTAATTATGATTGGGAGATGACAATCATATGATAAATGTCCAGGAAAATGATCTAAATCAACTCACGCATGAAAACAGTCAAATAATATATAAAACAGGACCAAAAGAAATCAACAATTAGGATGCGAAGATAATCCTATCATGATTTAGGGTTTTATATTCTAATGTCCTTTTTGCAAGTTTAATCTTAATCTTATCATGATTTAGGGTTCTAAATTTCCATTCAGTTTCATTCTTTGTTCCTTCAGTTCAATGGCATCTAGTTCTCACAAAGGCAGCAATTACTATGGTGTTGCTTCATATAGATCAAGGTATTTCTGAATTGTGATTCTATATCATTTTAAAACGTCAATAGAAAAGTTCCCCTTTTACATGGATGACTACTCATTGTGTTTTATCGGGCCTGATAATTCAGCTTTTGTGAATCTTGTACTTACCTTCAATGCTTGTGAAATAGGTACTCAAATACTTTTTGTGTCCCAACTCCCAACTATAATGTCGGGACAGGGATTGGGGACTCTTATACCTTTAAGCAACTAATTATCCGATTATGATTATTTTTTCTTCCGATAATTAGTCATTTTTTTATCTCTTTATTTATTTTTGGGTAACTTTTCAGTCAGATACGATGCAACAGAAAATCAAATGTTAACAGATACGTCTCAACAATGAAGAATTCTCAAGCGTAGGTACTTTTTATCGCTTAACTGTCTGTACAAAAATTGAAAAAACATATATCTTATTCTTACTACTACTCCAACAGTCTCTCATCTTTATAATGTTTATGCAGGTATTACCTAATTGAGAAAGCAAAAGATGCTGAAATTGTAGGAATATTGGTGGCAACACTTGGGTGTTGGTATGATTGTTATATTATATATGAGCTTATCTGTTGTATTTGGTGTATCTGTTACTTGAATAACATAATAATAAAGATGTTATTTTTATTGATTTGTTGTATATGCAGCTAGATATCTAAGTATGATCCCTCAAATAAAAGAGATGATTACAAGAGCTGGGAAGAAGGCCTACACACTTGTCATGGGAAGACCAAATCCTTCAAAACTTGCCAACTTTCCAGAGGTAAACTTGACAACTTTCCAGAGGTAAACTTGGCACTTGGTGTAATGTCTTCATCTATATCTCTTGAAAAGTAAACACTGAAAAGCTTTGTAAAAAGTCCAAATTTGGATTATGTGTTTTCTTTTGTTCTCCTCTTGAATGTGGTTGCTGTTATAATTGAAACAACAGTATAGCCATAAACCCTTACATTTCACTAGAATTTACTATTAGCTTGTTTTGTTTTTGAATCGATTATTTAACTGATCCTCTAAAGTCAAACTCTTTCTCTCACAGCTTGATATACAAAACAACTCTGGTCAGAAATTCTGGCAGAATGTGGAGTTTGTCTTTGGTAAAGAACTCATGAATTATACTAATTCTGATGAAATCCAGCTTCGCACTGATCCAGTGCATGCTGACCTGGATGATGAGATTGGTGGCCTCTGCAAACAAGTTAGACAGTTAAAGAATTTAAGTAGCTTTTTTTAGTACTTATCTTGTGTTCTTATATTACAATATTATTAACAGGTAGCCACAGAGATTGAGTTAGAAGCCAAGAATCAAAATGAGTTTATCAATGAACTGGTATGGAATTAATTATTAATCTAATCCTTGTAGTTTCTTATTTCTTTTTTCCCTTTATGGATTAAGTGGCTGAATGGGTAAAGTCAAAAAGAAATAACTACATATATCTGAAAATATTGAAATCTATATCCTTTAAAAAAAATTAGACTTTCCCATTAAGTTTTAATTTTTACAAACTTGCCCTCATCTGTCTTTTCCTTCTCATTTTCTCAAATTTTGATGGACGAATTATGAACTTACAACACTGACCCTTAGACGTTGATATTGAAATTATGCTCCTTTTATGTTCAATTTTCCCTTTCTTTCTTTCTTATCTTTTTATTTTTTATAATATAACAGTTGTGTTATTTCAGCTTAAATCCCTACATTATACATTTGCTTAATTAGGTTTGTATAAAACATGTGGTTGCAGGAATCCCTTAAGAAGTGTTGTAGCCAGCGTGTTTTCCTTGTATGGTTCATCCGTGTAAGAAACATCCGCTCACCCTTTTGGTGGTTGTAGGAATAACTTCTAACTTCTAACAATCTGACTACATTTCTTAATGGAACCTAGAACACCACAAAGTTATCTGCTATCGATACACACTTATGCAAATAGTTTCAATGCAGAGCAGGTTTTAATGGAACCTGGAACACCACATGGATCAAATATCATATCTCAAGTGCAGTTCCACATTCTTTGGATGGAGAAAACGGTAATTTCATCTTTTACAACTAACATTCCATGTTTGATTCTTCTAATAATTATAGTAGCATATTAATTTTTTGACTTTTATTTGATTAGGTCACAAGAATTATCGGAGCAGGGGCTCATTAGTCTTAAAGAATTATGAAAGGCAAGATGCAACTCTACTTAGTTGGAATTTGATGTTTAACATCTTTGTGTATTTCTTTTTAGTTTGTATAGCATTACATTGCAAAAAGATGTCCCTTAATAGTAATGTAGTATTAGGTTATATAGTTAGGGAAAACCTCTTAATAATAATGTACAATTAGATCCCCTTAATATCAATGTATTAAAATTTTTGACAGGATGTTATTGGATGAAATTGATTGTTTTGGTATATATTTGTTTACATAATTTTGTATTATGCGTAAATGGGTATCGTAAAGACGTGTCGTAAATACATATCAAAAATGGTTACTGACGTTTATGACACGCAAATGCGTGTCGTCTTCATTTATGACAGGGGCTTCCTTGATACGTAATGTGTGGCATAAGGACGCGCGTCGTAAGGTTACGACACGCAAATGCGTGTCGTCTTCCTTTATGACAGGGCGTTCCTTGATACGCATTGCGTGTCATAACTGCATGTCGTAAATGCGTGTCCTAAATGCGCGTCGTAAATGCGTGTCGTAAATAGACGACGCACAAAGGTGTGCCGTCTCTCGTTATGACAGGGCCTTCCTTGACACGCATTTGTGCGTCATCTGAGCGTTTTACGACATGCATTGTGCGTCGTAAAAGGCTGTTTTTCTAATAGTGTGTATAGCAAAAGTATAAGAGATGCGACTCCATAAGCTTCGTCTTCTCAAAACATGTGGGTGTACCTGTCTACTGGTTCCCTGAGAATACAAGTGGTTTTGAAATTGTAACAACATTTAAGTTTGTGAGTTCATAAGTATGTCTTTGAAATGGAAAGCTTGTCTTTGTTCTTTGAAAATGTTATAGTGTACTTTCAGAAAATCCAATATTTTCTTTAGTGTATGAAATTTAGTCTTAGGACTTAAGACAAAAATATATTTTTGTTACTGTACTCTGAAATACTAATCTGTAGTCTTATTAATAAATAAAACTATATCATGCATGTTCTTGAAATTGTATATGGTACAAACAAATAGTGTACTCTAGTAGTGTTTGTATGAAAACCTTCTTGTATGAGTGTCTGGAATCCACCAGCTGTAGTGTAAAATAGTGTACTGTAGCTTTATTATTTAAAATAAAACCTTTTGTATGAGTGCCTGGAATCCACCAGCTATAGTGTAAAATGTACTGCAGATTTGTTATTTAAAATAAAACCATTGAAGTAGTTTTAATCCCGAAAACAAATGTTTTAGTTGATATTTTGTAAGTTTCATATAACCCTGCTAATCTGACTAATGGCCTCTACGATATTCTTCAGGCGTCGGAATGTTATGACATTTGTCGCCCCAGACCTGCCAGCCTAACTGTAGCTAAGAGTTTAGGTGCGGGATTGTCAGTCCCGTATAGATCTATACACAAATTCACGCTCTCCCTCCAGGAGACTCTGGTTATAATTTATAGGACTTGGACCTGTACCTTGATGGGTACAATTGAAGTAGTGCCTCACAACCCTGTATTAATTAGTTTATGTGTAGTGTTGTAGTGTTCTCTTGTACTTGAAACTGTATGTATCACGTCGTAGTAGTGTACTTTGTAATGTAATAATAATTATACGTAAATAATTATTTAGTAGTGTATCCTTGAAATAGTGAAATAGAGTAGTATTCCATAAACTATACTATAGTTTATATACTTGTTTCTGTATAGTATTCTTGAACTTGTAAAATAGTGTAGTGTTTCCCAAACTATACCTATTATAGTTTAAATGTATGTTCTTGTTTCGTGTATTGAACTTAGTAAAATAGCATAGTTGTCACACCCCGCTAAAGCGGAAACATGAGGCGTGGTAGTATAAAGGATTTCATAGCCAAAGTTAAAACACAACACTAACCATGGTAATAAAAATCATTACAAATTTACAATGGGTTTGAACAAATTTTTAAAAAGCAATTACAATGTAAAGTGAAATACAACACATGCGAATGCTCCTAAAAGTGATGTGTCCCTAAGTGCCACTTACTCGATGATTCTTGAAAAAAAAACATGTAAAACGAGTGTCAACTATAAAAATAGTTGGTGAGTACTCACAAGTTTATAACATAATATAGTTTTAAATTCATGATAATCTGAATATTGATAACAGTTTCCATAAACAAATGTTCATTGCTAAAATAAGTAAATAAGTTTTCATGAATAGAAGTTTGTTGCTAAACCGAGTAATAACGTTTCCATAAATAGAAATATATTACAAAATTGAGTAATAAGTTTGCATAAACAAAGTTCGTTACTATCATGACAGATAAAGTGTGTTGCCCAAATGAGATGCAACGTTCATATTCTCATGGGAAATAAAGTTCATTGGTATAATTAATAAACAAGTGTGTTGCTATAATAAGTAACAAGTTTGTATGTATATGAGCAAACAATGAGTTCACAACCAAGCCTGTGACTGATGCCCTATCAAGATCTACGTTTATCGTTCCATAGATTATATGGTATCATGCACTCCAACAATCGGGCGAGTGAGGAGTTGTTAATTCCTAATAACGCTATCCATAATGACCATTGGCTCAAAGAGTTAATGGTTGGATTAAAGTGTAAGAGAATGGACTTAAGACGATAAGGCCTTATGTTTCGTGTTGCATAGACATACATAGAGAAATATAGCAAAATATAGCAATCAAGTTTGATAGAAATACAACGAACAAATAATAGTTTTTCGGACATGCTTTTCCACCCCAAAACATAAAAACTGAAAATAGGGGAGTCGTGAATACTCACAATACATTGAGATGATGCAAATGGTGCCTTGAACTACGTTCCACTTGTACCACTACCGATTCCTACAATAATGGTATTCGCTAGTGAGTCTCTAATCGAAATCTAACACTAGTATACTTACTACTACAATAGAATTATGTCAATATTGTGTCAAAATTTAATATTGATAAGTTACAAACATTTTTCTGAAATGGTGAAATTTTATAACTCATGAGATTAAGACAATTTTGGATATTAATTTCCAAATTTTTGTAATATTAATTTAGGGTATTTCAACACATTTAAAGGTGTTTTAAGCTCCTAAAAATCCAAAATATTATCAAACAGTTTCCAAAAATTCTCAAACTTTGTTCAATCTAAACACAGTACAGGTCTTCCAGAAATTTTCCCTTGAATTTTTACTATGATTAACTATTTTTCCAAATTTTATGCCTTTAGAAAAATATAAATTCGTGAAAAATAGAATCCAGATGATTAAAATTCCCTAACTTTTTATAATACTGGCATTTGACATACGTAAGCTGGGAAAAATAAAAAACTAGATTTCTAATCTGTTTAACCCAGTTTTATGATTTTTGTGCATTTATTCTAATAAATATTGAAATAAATCGAAAACACTTTCCAAAATTGCCCAAAAAAATTTTATTACTGCTATTAAACATTTCTTAAGCTGAGAAAAATATAAAAATGGATTTCTAAACTGTTTAACCCAATTTTATGATTTTTGTGCACTTATTATAATAAAAATTGAAATAAATAGAAAAAAGTTTCCAAAATTGCCCAAACTTAGAAGCTGTGAAAAATATAAAAGATATTTTCCAATTAGTCTTGCTATTTTTTTTTTTTGTTTTATCTTCTTAAATAATTATTAATTGGAGAATAATTATTAAATAGTTAAAGTAAATTACCAAAAAAAAAAATTAAACTACATTTATAGTGTAAATAATCTGGGAAAATTACCAAAGGTGGTCTTTATCTTTTGGAATCCGATTTTGTGCATTTAAGTGTATTTAATATTATAAAATAGAAGAAAAATAGCATACTGAATAGAAAAACCATCCAAATTTCTATTTAGAGTTCTAATATATTATAAGGTCTTCTGGTAAATTTTCATGAATTGTGGATGAGTATAACTATTTTTCCTGTTTTTAGTCCCTTACAAATACAAAAATCGGGGAAAAATAGGAATGCATGATGAAAAATTTTCAAAATATTTGCCGGAGTCTTCAACGTAGGGTAGGAGCTGCGAAAATTATTACATACCCTTTTCACATTCTCTTAAGTGGTTTTATGATTTATTGGTGCTAAACAAAAAGAAAATTCAAAACCACAGTACACAGTAACAAAAATCGATGAAACTTAATGAGAGATCATTATCTACCATAGGGGTCATACACGAATTTACTTAGGATTTATAGACCTAAGAAAGTATTTTATATGATTTATTGCCCTATTTTATTGCAATAGTTATAATAATTCGAGAAAAATGAATTATTTTCGGAAACTTTACAGATCATCTTATTTTCTTAGTGGGATTCTTGCAAAAATTGGATTTGATCAGAAAGGAGTTTTAGGTATTTATTTGAGAATAAATCCTTTATGAACATATTTGAAAGCTTTTAAGAACAAATTTTGATCATCAAGCATCTAAGCTTGAAGATCATCACATGCATGTTGTTTTGAAGACCATTCATGAGTTTGAAATGTTCCAAAATTGTTTTTGATAGAAAACTTAGGGTGCATGTAGTGATTTTTACCCAAAACTTGTAGAAAAGTGCATTATGTTGATTTTGACTTAGGTTTTGGTCCTTGGATTTCACCATTTACAAAATGCATGTTGTTTTTGGGTGAAATCCTACCACCATCATCATCAAAAACGTGAGTTTGTGTGTGTATGTTTATGTGTTCATCATCTTTCATTAGAATGGAGTAGAAGATGGAGAAATTGCAAGAAAGCATGCAAAACTTTGAAAGAAAGTGAAGGGGAATGAAAGAAAATTTGGGATTACCTTCAAGAATACTTTAAGATGATGAATATTTCCTGATTATAGGTTTTATTTGAACTTATTTTCTAGAAATTTCGTGGGTTTGTGAGAGGTAAAGAGGAGAAATCGAGTGGTGGTGATGAAGAGTGTGAGAGAGAATGAGAGGTAGAGTGAATGAGTGAAATTGATTAATGATATGGGAAATTTGTTTTGGGGGATGGGTCCGATTTTTGGGAGGAGGAGAGA